GCTAGACTGTGATAAGAAATTCTCTAGCTGGTCCAAGTCTTTGACATGCAAAGTTTGGAGAGCAGCTCGAGAGGTCTCCTCTTCCCTAGTAAGAATCAGAGTTGAATCTTTTTGCTTGGAATTGGAATTTGGAATGACCAAGGTGTGTGTTCAGTCATTGTTGTGTTTTAAGAGTACCTTTCTAAACTTGGTAGCTGTGCCTGGAGCCAGCTTTAACCTGGGCCTAGTTTTCAGAAGGGCCAGGAATTTGCAATTGGAATCACTGGAGTGTGAGGAGCAACAGTTTGTCATAAATTTTAAGGAGTAATGAAGTGCACRTTAAATTTAATCAAATTGTGCAGTGTTTTATTTTTAATCAGTGCAAAACCTTCCTGTAAACCTAGCTTTGTTTTGTTCTACCTCTAATATATGTTTTATTACAATGCATAAGTAACATCTTTTGARGTACTACAAATTTTGAATTATATGAATACATTTGACTGCCAGATTTCACTGTTTCTGGGAAGTGCAAAGGTCGCTTACAATATTTGGTAGTCAGCACAAGAGACCTATTTAGAAGAGAATATTTCACAATTCTGTTTCTTCTGGTAGAAATCATGTGATTCTTTGCTTCTTTCCTCAGCTGTATGAGGAATAAGGGTGTGAAGTTTTTTCCTTTTCCTCAAAGTGTGTGTGTGTGTCGGTATGTGTTCTTGGGGTGGGAGGGTAAAGTGTTAGCTTCCAGAGCTGAACATGAGTAAGCTAGAATAGCCCCATGTGGATGAAAGCAAGCTTGTGGAGTGAGAAACAGAAAGGTACAAGGATTGAAGGAAAATCGGGAAGACCTACAGCTGTCTGAAGATAGCAAGAGACAAAGTGCAAACCAGATATCTTCAACCTATGGTAGCTGCATAAGTAAATACTTAGTTTTCCCAGSTCAAGTATTTGTGTTTCCTTCACCATTTATGTAGAGTACTGGAAGTAAATCTTATTTGAGTATTTTAAAGTACTTGATACAGAACTTAGTGCAGTGCCCTGTTCCCCCACTATGCTGCTTTTACTGATCCCTACTTCTGTAGGGATATGATGTCTTGGTATTTGGTAGTGAACTTGATATTACAAAATCTAGAATATGGTAAAAGTAGAATGAAGATATTTAAAAAGGTAAAAATGGACAAATGTAAAGAGAAAATTGTGTTTATGTAYGTGTTTGCCCAGTTTGAATTGTTAGTTCCTCATTCCAGATGTTGAGTTCTATTTAGGTTAGGATTCAGTGCTCATGGGCTCTGTGTCACCTGGTTGAATGTCCTGGAGAATGCATTTTGGGGAAAGCATTTTTCTTCAATCCAGCAAGGCACTATGTGAATTCTATGTGCACATCTTCAGCCTTACTAATAAACATGGAGCTCAGCTCTCAATCTGCCTGCAGCTCATCTCTGTTTCTTTGAGACCAGGAAATCATGAGCTGAGTAATGACTGTAGTAGTCTCCTTAATGYTAGACTGATCTTGAGTAAGACCTCTGAAATTATCACATTTTTAGTGGTTTATCATTCCCCTTTTTCTGTGAACACATGCTTACATTTCTTAAAAGATTTGYAGTATCTGTTCTGTTACTACTTTTATATGTAACATTGCTAAAATATTTGTATGTTATTCACATACAGGATTACACAAAGGAATAGTCTTTTCAGAGCAAAGTGCTCAGGTTCAAATGGTATGCCACTAGGAGAAAGCTAGAAAAGAAAGGAAGGAAAAGAGTGGAAAACTGATAAAATCAGTATCAGATTGGTGGCTGTTACGCTCTTTCTTGAGGTTTACAGATTCATTCATGCCCTGTCAACCAGCATGTGCTTCTCGGTCACAAATAGCAATAATGGAGAACTTTTATTTTTAATGTTTATCAATACAAGGGTCGGAATTGCCTTTAATTTGGGGACTAAACTTGGGGATCAAGGGAAAAGAATGTTTCTGAATCTTGAGTGTATTTTTTCTTTTCAGATGAACTAAACCAGAGATGCAAGTCATATGGTTCTCCTTCATGTGTCTAATCAAGAAAAAATACAACATAAATTACTCTTCCGAAGATTAAAAATGTGTTCAGCTTTTCCTAGTTCACATGTCTATCATGTAACACTACTTCCTGACATAAATATTCTTTTTATTTCATTAATAGGGAGGATGGTCAGTGTGCCATTGGCAGGTAAAACTCAGAATCATTGTACTGGTCACTTTCAAATGTTCATACCCTCACATCACTCTTCTAGTTTGTTTTTTTTCATATTTTTCAAAGTTGAAGTTTGAGGCARAAACGCAGAGACTATACACAACTCAGACTGGGCAAGTTTTCTGTAAAGCTATTGACAAATTCCTATAATAATTACTGCTGAGATGTCCCAGTGTCAGAGATCAGATTTAACTTTCACATGAATCAGTTGAAAGTACTATCATTGCCATGTACACCAATTTCTTGAAAAGGCAAAAACCTGAGGAAGATCTACTTGGAAAAAAAAAAAAAAAAAAGCAGGACTACTTAATATTTCTTTTTCAAACTGTTTTACATTTCAGATCCCTGACTAATTAAGACAGGTCAGAGGATTTGTTAACAAGAGAGCCCCAGGTTTGTTCCTGGCTTTACGTAGGCTGAGGTGACTCAGGAATATCCTCACCAATACAGGGTTTGTCTTTTCTTTTTGTGTCAGCTCTGCTGTGTTGGAATTAGTCAAAGAATTGAAGTGTAAGGAAAAGGTTATTGCTAATGGCAGTGTCTCCTAAGTTATAGGAAAGGTAATGTTAYATCTGCTGCAGAGGGAGGAATTAATGCAGAAACTATTTGCTTTGATTTTTAGTTGTATCCTAATATATTCACGTATATATCCACTAAAACCTCAAAGGTCTTGCTTTTATGAGGGTTTCGGAACAAAGCCCTTGTCTTACAGTCTTAAGTAGTTGTAATATCTTTATTTTTGGTTTACTCATGGTCTTGTCCTATGAGACTAAACAAGATTGAATTGGACAAGAAATTTATCCTTTCAAAATATGAAAGCACAAATGGAATCTTTACAAAGTGAAAAGTACTAAAGAACAGACAAATGTTTTTCACTACTTTATATGCAGTGCTTACTTTCCTGGTATTGTAAGAAAGGATATGAATTCTAAATGGATTATAAAATGATAGATAACTTTGATTTATGGATGCAACCCTGATAAGGGGTCACATATGTAGCATACCTGCTTCAGGAAAACTTTTCTGAAACATCTCCCTGCAGGTAGTGTGTTGGACATTGCCTTACAAGAATGACCTTCTGTTGTTGCTGTTAGCTCTGAAGATACGGGTGGGGTTTGTTTCCCAACATACCAACATCAAATTGCGGCTGGTAGAGTGAGCTGGTCTTCCAAGTCCTTTTGCACTTAGGACTGGGGAAAAATGCACCAAAAGTTAGGGATGCAGTRCTGCACAGTCAGCTTATACATTGTGGATTAAATACTGTGCCTGAGTGATGCTAGGGGAAAGAGGGAAGAAAAGTGATCCCTCCTCTTTCTTGGAAAAGACCCCACTTACCTTCCTGATCTCATCTGCTTGGCCCCAACTATGTGCACAGTGAAGCATTTACACACCTAAAAAAGGCCTAGCAATTTGTTGAGGAGTTTGACCTGGTATCTGTTTTGTAAATGCTGCATGCAGCAAGTGAATGGATGAATGAAGGGCTAAGAGGGTAGCTGATGAGAACAACTATGTGGAAATGAGCAATCAGTGTAAAACAAGCATAATGAAGCCAATAAGTATGAAAGCCTCGGCTTTACAGTCTTGAGTTTTTGTATAGTACTCATTTGTTTAGTACGTTTCTTGTGAATTATGCAACTTGCTGCATGAACTAGTATTACTGTAACTTTGCTGGGGTGGTAGCAAAAGGCCTTTTTAAATGCAGCTTATAAAACGGCAATAAAACTCCATTTTTTTTGAAGAGGAGCTTTTCTATATAACTTTGAATGCCAGATATTAGTGTTTTGTCTTTTTTTAATATGCTTTGTCAAGATAAAGACCCATATTCTTTTTGTTGGCTTTTCTTTGTGGAAACTTTGCCCTTATTTGCTTGCTTTGAAAAGGAAACTATGTACAGAAGTAAATACACAGCAGACTTGTGTACTCAATGATTTCTTTTTTTCTGTCCTTTTTTCTTATTTTAATTTTGTACAGAATGAAAGTCAAGGTTGATTATTTTAAGATACCCTTGGGATTAGATTTAATACATTATTTCCTCATTTCATGCTGTTTTGTTATTTATAAACTGTTTTATGTTTTATCAGGCTTAATCTGAGCCACTTAGTCTCTTAAACAGTGACAGGGGCTGCTAAAGATATCTCAACCATCTCCACTAGTGAAGCAATCGTGACATACCTAGAGAATGGAGGTTTGCAAACACGTCAGGAGTCCTAGAGGTGAGGGCAGCAGTGATGGGGTCTGGAGCTTGATGAACACAGTTGTGAAATGCTGTTGTTTTGTAATACGTGATTCCTTCCATGCTCTGCTCTGCCTCATGCCTTCCCAAAATAGCCAGGTGATTAGGACACTAACCCATGGTGTTGAAGCCCCAAATTCAATGAATACTTAATCAAATTTATACAAAATCGAGCTGCTGTAATAGTTAAGATTGAAAATGTTCCATCAAGAGTAATGGATAGCCTTGAGGGTTTCACTGGAGAAAGGCTGAAGCTTCCATTGTTGCTCGAACTCTAGGAGAAGAGCGTCTAAACCTGGGTCTCCTACCTCCAGGAGGGTGCTGTTGTTGAGCTCTTAGCTATTTTGATATAGTAAAATCTTTCAGAACAGAAATTCTGTAGTTGCTGAAACATGCATTCTATTCTACATAATGTTTTGATGCCACTGAATCAACATTTTCCAATGAACTCCTGTTACTGTGAAACTTGGGCTAAGACTACTTGGGTTGGAAAATACATTATGAAATAAGTACAGGGAGGACACTGCTTGCTTCTAATGACTCTGCTTTCTACATCCCTACAGGTATACAGTGATGCAGCTGCTTACTACAACAAGGTAAATGAACATTGCTTATCTTGGTTGTTTGTGTTAAGGTGTATTTGTTATAATTCCTCATGTGTCTGCTCTAATTTGTTTATATCGGCCTTGTGAATTTTCAATCCTCATACTGAAAAGCAGTCTGTTTCTCTACAAGTTTTCATTTGTCTGTCATGTTTCATGTTATGCTCTTGTTAGGATATATGCCCTTTGGCTTTCTGTGTCCATCCATTAGGAATGCATCTGCTGTCTAAACCAAGTTCTTTTTCTTTATAAAGAATGTCTTTAGCTATTTGCCTATGCAACTAGTAAGCCTACTTTTTTAACCTTCATGATCATGGAGCCGAGAAAGGAAAGGAATGAGGATGAAGGGGAAGTGGGTACTGCCAAGTGTCTGAAATACAGATTTAACTAACATTGTTCTGGTATGTGGATGATTCTTGTATGGACATAATGTTACACATCCCTACCTTYCTGCAGTTTGTAGTTCAATGGGCACCTGGTTTTATCTCTACCTCATGATTTAAAATCACTATCATCTCTTGAGAAAGATCATTTGGGGGAATATGAGCTCTCTTTGACATGCATGCTTTTTTACTTGTGTTTAAGGGGGAGATATGTTTTCCTAAATGACCTAGAAAACAATGTGAAGTGTCTTTGTATGTTTTAACAGCCTGAACGGTTGTTATTAATGTGATGGTATCAAGCTGAAACATTTGTCAATTTGGCCATGAAATTGCCTGTGGCTCCTGTTTTGCTATGACTGATAGAGGATTCCAGCACTTTGAGCCAGCTGTTTGCTTGCTGTGCACTAAGGGAAGAGCATTTGAGAAGGCCTTGGCTATCACATTTTCATATGATGTGCACTATTTTATACATGTGCATATTCCACAAAGAACAGAAGAACTCACAGCAGCCCCAAAACGGCATCTGTTCTTTATAGTGAGATAAAGAAGCTGCAGAAGGTTTGTGGAAACTTGCTGATGCTTGTTGTCACTTAGCAGGAAGTGTTTAGGAGTTTGTGAAGAACAAAATTACAATTTGTCAAATGTTGCAAACCTCAGAGTGATTGCACACTATTTGATTTTGCTGTTGCTATAAATAAGATTTAACTTTTTGAGTTTACAAAATGACCAACTTTTCCCATAATATCTGAGTTAGAATTTTCTCTTTCAAAATATTGCACAATCTAAAGGGTGAAGTTGACATTGTTTTTGTAACCCATTACCTTCTACAGCCAGTATATGTAGCTATGTAAAAACCAAGATGTTACTACTTTCCTTATTTTTCCTTTGGTAGAATGCCATGCCTGCCCTGAGATACCAGGAGACAGGGAGGTTCACAAATGGTGTTTGTAACTTGTGTCATGGTAACACTTTGGGTAGTGCCGTCTCTTCATGTTCTCCCTGAAATATCAAGCAGGAAAAATATCCAAGAGAAACTTGTATCAAAGGCCATTGTAGCCAGTATGAATCATGTCATTCTCTCAAATTCATCTGTGAGCATTTCTGCTGTGGTTGCAGCTGCTAATGGGAAGTGTCAAGATAGATGCAGTGAAAAATGGCATTTTTTTTTAGCCTTTGGGGATCATATCACTTATCTTCAGGTTTAGGAGGGAAGATCAATAAATAAAGGATTGATAGTCATATTTATCGTAAATAGTGAATACTCTTAAGCAAATACTGCTAAGCAACATTTTGAATGTGCTTCATGTGTAGAGAACTAGTGCCCGTTTTGTACAGAAACAAGTAAATTCATCATTTTGAGCAGACAGAGCAAGGTGAATCCTTTCAAGAGCAGAACACAACTAAGCTTCAAGACTAAGCTTAAATTATTAATAGCTGGCTTGAATTGTGAACTAGGTTTTATAAACACAATGAGAAGGCAACATTGCAAAATCTATGGCAAGAAACATGGAGCTCTGTGCAGAAGACATTGCTTGTAGATGACAATGCAGATCTTTCTAAGAGCCACCTTACTTGTGTGCTTTGGTCAATAGTGGATGACCAAAGGTAAAATTCCAAGTAGCATCACTGGAAATTGAGTTAGACCTCACAGAGATGCAGATTGTATTAATCTCAGAATTGTTGTTTCCAGTTCTGGATGTGCAAAAATGTCACTTAGCCATTAGCACCTGGGGCTGTGTGCGACATATTTCCTGCTCATCCACTGCCTGGGACACATGACTGGGAAAGTGCCTTTTGCCAAGCACTGCTAGTGGAAAGGCTGCAGGCTTCTAAGTGCCTCTATTGAAGCCACCCTTGGTTACGCTGAGTCATAGGCCAGTGCCCATAGCAGACAGATGTATTTGTTTTTCTTCACTATCAAAATTAATGGGTTAGGTGGAAGCCAAAGCTGCCAATGTGATGTGGACAAGCTGACTCTGACTTAAGCTGAGCTTTTTCCAGAAATGGAATAAAGATAATCAACAGCTTATTTTGAGGAGATAGGGAGGGGTAGGAGGAGAAAGGGAATAGGATTTCAGAACAAAATGTACGTTTAGGAAAGTTCCTGTTCCCTCTTGAGTTTTCAGATGCTTCTGTGGTATAAAATCATTTTTGGATCACTTATGTAAATAAAGCACACCAACATTTCTTAGTGTGATTTAGGTGTGAAAAGCAAGTAAAAGTGTTGCTAAGCCATTTTTGTTAGTTTCTGAGTCTAGAGCTACTTGAGATTGGTCAACTTTCAGAGCAACTGGGGAACCCCACCCTGGTATAGCACTCTTGTGAGGAACTACTTATTTCTCTAGGGAATYGGACAATGACCAGAGCAGGATTCTGATTTGTGAAAATAACACATCAGTTTGTGCAAGGCTCTTCTGTCTTCCCTTTAGGATTTAGAACCCAGCTGGTGTTGAGGAGGTGGCATGTTAAAGAACTTCAGGGAGAATTACTCTAATGAAAAATTGTCTGGTATTAAATACATGGATAGGAGATAGAGGTTGATAGTGCAGGGCTCCCTATTTGAGTTGATGTTTCAAGTTTGTTAGTAGTATCATGGTCTGTTTCTTAATGCCTAAGGAAATGCCTCAGTGTTACCTACGTCTAACAGTCAGAGATGCTTCCATGTCCTAGTACTCAAGTCTTTCAGATTCCATTTCTTTGGGTGTAGAAATATGCACTACAGACCCCTCATGGATGTTTCCTTAGTTGCTTACCTTTGGGTCAAGGTATATGCTTATCTGTTCCTCTGTTTGAGGAGCTGGATTCTTTTTTGTCCCTTGGCTTCAATGGGGAGAGGGGGATTTCTCTTCATTTTCTGGTGAATTTGTATTGCTCTTAACAGAGGCTTTTGGTTATCTAAAATGTGGGTACTTTTTTTGTTCTCTTTCCCTAAAGTAGTTCAGCCCAATATTGTTAGATTCAAATGTTTAGTAGAACATTCCTTCTGAGTACAAAATCCCATTTCTTATATACTTTTGTACTTTGCACTAGATTGTATATGTGGATTTTTTTGCATATATACAGTGTGTGTATATGTATGACCTTTAAGGTGTTAGGCATTAAGCTTATTCTATAATGCACTTTCTAGTATTCAGCTACCTTCTCCCAAAAGGAAATCAAATCTTGCAAAGTAAAAATAGAAGTATGATTAAAAGTTTTGGGGTGTGTGTGGGGGAAATAGTGCTTGTAGGCAAGAATATATGTCATCAGGTTTGAGAAGGGTGGCACACTGGAGAGAATGATGGCAAATATGTGCCCAGACTTGAGTCATATCAGCATAAACACTATCTGACTAAACCCTGACTGGACAAATCTCCCTCAGGCCAATATAAACCATTTTAAAGCTGCCATAAACTAGCCCTTTGGCAAAGAGCTAAACCAGACTGGGTGCTATCATGAAAGCAAAGGGATTGGGGCAAAAAGAGTCAAGTCCTTATGATAGCAGAGATGTTTGCAGTTCCTATTCATTCTTTGTTTAGCTTGTGCTTTTTGAAAAGCTCAGAAAATTTTTGGAGAAGCAAACTTGGCATTGCATTTGAGATTTSCCATTGAAGCTAGAACAAAAGCTTTACAGAACTCAAGGCTCAAGTCTCAGTAGGACACACAAATTTTGTTCACAACAACAGCAAAAGTTTCTAGAAGAAGAATAATATAATGTAAATGTAACTGTAAAAGAAGGGAAGCAGCTTAGAAAGTCRAAGTGGAAATTGCTGCTTGCTTATTGTTTTCTGATCTTAACTGGTGGCTGGTTAAGCATCTAGTTAAAATCAGGTGTATGTGGCGTATACTACTTGCATTTTGTGCATGTTGGTATTGTATTAGTTCCATTTGTTAGTTTTACTATAATAATGTCTTTTGTAGGTATAATATGTTGCTAGGTGGTATTTTCATCTTTCCCAAAGATATTGAGACATATATATATGTTAATGTGCGCTTTATCCGTATTGGAGCATCTAGAAGCTGGATGCACATAAATGTTAAGCTGTTCAGATGCATATGGAATACATCACTGGAACGACAAAAGTCAGTTTTACGAGTGCATTTTTGACCTACTTATCTGTGTAGAGAAAATGTTGTCTGAAAAAATATCTTAAAAATGACCAGGCTCTGGTATCTTTTGCTGCAGACTTCAGTTACTTACATATCTTTTATTTAAATATAAAGTCTGATTTGGCAGTGTTTTGATACATATCAACTACACCAAAATGACTGTAGCTTGGTAATGCTCGGTCATCTTAAAATCAGCTTTTGTTGTATTGCTTAAATAGTAAAGATCACTTTCCAGTCAGTCTTGCAGTTGCAATGTTTAGGTTATGCAGCTAGCCAAAGGCTACCAAAATATCTGTTAGAGAAGTGCCAAGTTTCAATTGTTCTGGTCAAGAATTGCTGTACTGGGTTTGCACAAACTTTGCAGGAAGTACATTACCTTTATCCTAAGAAGTAAAAATATAGGCAGTTACAAGTAACTGAAAATAAGACTTGAATGGAAATAAAGAAATTTCAGCAGTAGGAATCATTCTTGCTCCTATTATGTTATGTTTGTAAAATTAAAGTTATGTCAGTTAATAGTTG